CATTCACGAATCTGGAATGTGTGTCCTGTCTGTCTAAAATAGCACAGAAAAATTTTTCCAGATCCTGGCACAGTTTTTGCTAATTATTCAGGTTTAATAGAATCTTCATGCCAGTGGTAGGTAATGTGAAGTTTTGAAATGAGGTTTATCTTTCAAATGTGTTTGTCTAGCCACAGCTTCCAAAATTGAATCAAATATCAACGTACAGTGCCGGATTTGTGGCGTTTTGTGCAAGGGTTTCAATTATACAATAAAGTACAACGAATTTACAGTTCATTGCAGAACCAATTGAGTTGCACTGGGTATAATTTGGAAAATTTTCTATCTGATACCTTGATTTCGATATAGATACCAAAATGATATTTTTTGCTACTTATTTTTCCTAACTGTGTCAATAAACAAGACGTGAAAGGAATGATTATTGGTGAATGACAGTTATTTAACAATTTTACAACAAACGAGTAATCACAATGTGTGGTTTCCCTGTGGTTGACCACGTTGGGTTGAGAATAACTGCCGCTAGCACTGTCAAAGCTCCTACCTACAACATTAAATCGAACCATGGCAGTTTATTAGACCTCATTTATAACACCTGTGTAGAATAAATTAGTATGTATGCATGTGGTTTAATATGAAGCCTGACGGCAGGTGAATTCTAGCCAAGAAGATAGCTAATAAATGCTAGTTTATATGCTAGCTGCTGAATCCAAGTGCGTTCACACAATGACAAAAGTATTAATGGCAAACTTTCTCTTGCAAAAGTTAGAAAGTGGAATTGGTAAACTGTTACTCCTCCCTCCAATTTTCTTTACAGCTACTAGGTTAAGGTATTTGTTTAAAATTATCGCAAATATTTGGAAATTATTTGAGAATTTTCAGTAGTACTGAAATGCTTCGGTTGGTGCCTATTAGCTACTGTTTTTTTAGTACCTAGCCCCAGTGGTGATGACTTCTTAATACAAGTTTTCTGTCTCATATAAGCATCAAATTATGAGGTCTTTGTTATAAATTAGGGTTGTAACAAACACCCTCACAATCCCCATCACTGGGCTTAAAATCAATATTCATGTAAAACACTTATGTCCCAAATGCACAAAGTTTAAGGACAGTGTAGTGTGAGATTCATGACAGGGATAGTGTGCATGACGTGAGAAACAGCACTGCTCTGACAGGTACTGTCTGAACACTTGGTTTGCATGCTCATTTTGATTAAGCTTCCTACAGACTCACAGCTGTTTCCTCATCTAAACTGGCGGTTTCACTTATTCCAGAGAACATTGGATCATGCTGCAAGCCATGTGTTCTCCATCTACTCCTTCCATTATTTCTCTATCTCTCATGGTTACATCAAAATCATGATCTATGTAATCATCGTTGGTTAAGTTTAGAAGGAAAAAAAAATCGTACCCAGACCTGAAGTGTATTTGATGTAACTTATGGGTTATACTGCAAAACCAGTGTGTAGTGAATAAATGGTTCATTCTCACCAGTAAATAACTTATTCACATTTAGCTGAATAATATATATTAGCTCTATTATAGATATACATACTTTCCGATCACTTTCATTTAGGTCACTGGTGCTTTGTTACAGAGCCATGTGCCTTTAAATGTTACTCAGAGAGTGAGTGCAAGAGTGAGGGAGAGATTAGGGATGGTGTCGCTGCAGGGCTCCAGGGATTGATTGATGGCAGCCGTATTTACGCCATCAGGTTCTCTGTATGTAGCCAAAATGGCTGCCTGTTCCCACAGAGAGTACAGACGCCCCCCGCCAGCACAGCAGACTAAAAAGCACACTGACTTTGAATCATAATGAAAAGGGAAATAAGAGCAAAACTTAGTCATACTGAGAGACTCAGACAGGGAAATGGAGAGAGTGAGAGATGGTGGGATGGATGGAGATTTTAGGTCATTGGATGACCTTTAATAACTTGACAACAATATGAAAGCCTCAAATCTAATAAAGCTAAGGAATTCCACAAGGTAAAGAAGGGTACATAGGGTGTAGAAGGCTTCCCCGTCCCGGTCCTGAAATCTATCTATCTATCTATCTATCTATCTATCTATCTATTTAGAAACTCAGACTTTCTTTCTTCATCTACTTATTTATATTGATATGTTTTTGTGGTCTGTTATAGATTTACTTTACTACTGTATGACATTCCTTTAGCAAGCACATATGAAACTCACAAAGTTTGAAAGGAAATGTTTGAGAGCAATCCTGGACTATTAATATTTGTGTAATTTATTGTGGTATGTACAGCTGCTTTACAATCTTGGAAAAAGACTGTAAATCGAAAACCTTCTATTTATTGGTTGTTCCTACAGTTCTACAACAGAGAATTTCTCCTTCTACATTTACATTTAAGGCATTTGGCAGACACCCTTATCCGGAGTGACTTATAGAAGTGCTTATTAGTCTCTATCAAAAAACATGTTCACTCGGTCAGGGACTAAGAGTACCATCAGTCTAAAAACCCTTTTGGGGAGGTTGGTAATTTATTATTATTATTTTTTTAATATTCAAGACAGAACCCTTTTAGAAAGCTAAGAACCCTCAACTATCCAAAAAATCTTGCAGAGCCCTTGAAGTGCTCTTTTTACTATATTGCATATTGAAGTTACATAAGCCACATCAAGTAAGCTTTTGTGATTCATTTCATGAAACGTCTTTAGTACTTTCATGCTACATAATAAATAAGTATTGAGCATGCTCTGACCAAACTATGGTTCTTTCTTCAGTATCAAATACAAACTCAATATTAAACCAAGTCTTTCAGCCATATAGCAACTGACTGTAGTGTCAAAATAACGATATAATCATAACAGTCTCTTATTTAGATATTCAACTTAAAGCATAATTTTTGTATTTTTCTGACAGGTGAATGAGAGGTCCTCTAGTATGAGGTTGTAGGAACCTTTTGAATTTAGTCACTGCACTGAAACTAAAATGGACATGTATTTAGTAATAGTAGTGAGGACTGTGATGGTTACAAAGCACTGACACTAAATAAGCATGTTCACCATATAAGTGATTGCACATGTCTTAACTGCAGCAGAACCAATTGCAGTTAAGCCTGTAAATTCACATTTACTCATCAAATAAATGATTGCACATGTCTTTTAAATTCATTTATGTGGAACGTCCACCATAAAAGTCTCTGTCGAAGATGTTACTAGAAATGACCGTGTATTATACATGAGTGCATATAAATCTTGCAGCAGGCACTATTGTCAGAGCTGCTGTTAAAGAAAATTAATCAACACCTGCTGACCAATCAAAATTGAGCATGAAATAGCTTTGTGATATAAACCAGTGCAGCTTTCAGCCCACTAAATCTAAGGCTGTAGTTAGAGGTAATGAGAAGTTCTTCCTGGAGCTACAATTAGGAGACCTGAGGATTATCACAATTTGCAGTAGATTGCGGTATATCAGAGTTTGTTGCAATCTTTGGATTTTCAGCAGGCTTAACTGCAATTGGTTCTGCTGCAGTTAACTCTGTCTCTCTCTCTCTCTCTCTCTCTCTCTCTCTCTCTGACTGGTGGTTAGTGGGGGGGGGGGGGGGGTGGCGTGTTAGGAAAGGAAGTGACCTACATAGCACGACTCCCTTGCCTCAGCTGTCGTTTGCATTTCAAGGGATGATGAATAATTTACTGCTCCTCTTCCCCTATGCAAACGTGACAGCCTTCAATAAAATTAACGAATTTAACAAGCCCGGGTGACAATCAGCTCTGTGACACTTAAAAGCTCCCGGTCTGAGCCGCTGATAACAGAGCCCGAGGCGAATCCATGAAAAAAATTACAGTAGTGCCACAGGTGATGCTTTATCAGGAGCAGATCAAACGCAGGAGCCACAGGAGTGGGAAAAATCAGCAGGATTCTGCAGTATGGGAGCTGTTGGTTATTTTCTCATATGTAAAGCATCCACAGCATAAATCCTCTGTAGCAGAGCGGGGTTTCTATTTCAACATCGAGAAGAGCATGACAGCTTGTGTGGGTACGAGTTCAGTCCAAGTCCCAGATCTTTTTCTGTACCAGAACTTCTACCATGTCTCCGTATTCCAACTATGATGCAATGGTTAGGTTACAGTTTTAGACTCGTGCGTGCACAGCGACAAACGCGCACACATTGAGTGCACACACAGAATCATCGGGGAGTGGGTAATAGTTTTATCAGGGTGAGCACAGGCACATACGTGCACTACTGCCTGCAGCTATGGCTGGGCTCTATGGGAGAAAGTCAATTACGGCGGGCACGAGGCAGCCTAGGGTGAACATATGGAAGAGAGATAATGCAGGCAAGATGGCGGCCCTGTTCTCCCAGCAGCCCCTAGTGCAGAGCCGTGGCGTGCCACTCTGCCTCCCTTCATATTTACCTCACTCCGCACTGTGAAATAATAAGGCCGCCTGGAATCTGTCGTGCACACACAGAGATGCATGAGAGACAGCATCTCTAGGCGTGAAATACAAACTTCCAGACAGGGTGAAGTGTAAGCAAAATACATTTTGGGCTACAGTTCCTGCTGTAGATCAAGCTCCAACCATTCTGGTTTTAAAACAGAATGGAAAGACATATATTTATAATTGAAAAAGTGTTTGAGGGTTTGTTGTTTTCTCCAGGTGGGGCCTTCACTGTAAAAAAAAAATGCTGTAAATTTACAGTATTTCTTTTGCAGCAAAATAATTTTTTTAAATTTTATTTTTAGTTTTATTATTTCACAGGATTGTACTGTAACTGATTAGGCATTTATAGCAGTGAGTTAGTTTACTGTAAAAGACCAGAAAACACAATGCATATCGAGATCTATAACATTTTAGGCAGGAGTGAGAATGGAAATGTTTCTCTTTGTGCTGAAATCTGAAAATCCTTTTTGAGCCCTTTACTGTAACAACTATTTAGGCAAACACAAACCCTCTATGAGTCTAGGTTTATATGCTAGCAAAGAGACATTGATTTGATAAACCACTGAAATTCATCTTTTAGTCTTTTTCATCTTTTAGAAGTGGTGGCTCAGTGGTTAAGCCTTTGAGGTCAAATCAAAAGGTCATGAGTTCAAATCCCAGCACTGCCAAGCTGCTATAGTTGAGTCCTTGAGCAAGACACTTGCACCTTCTGCCCTTAACTGCTCAGTTTTATCTTGCCTCAATTGAAAGTTGCTTTGAGTAAAATTGTCTGGCAAATATAGTGGGTTATGTTTTATTTTACTACTGATATATTAGTGTAAACATTCAGTGATATACTGTAAAAAAAAGAATACAGTAATTCCCTATAAATATTACAGTACTTTTCCTTCCAGTAAATTTTACAGTAAGTATTTTACAGTGTCTTATCTTCCTTTCTTTTTTAATGCATCCCCACATATAGGCAGCTCTCAATCAATGAGTTAAAAGGAAGGCAAATATGTCTTCTCTTTCATTCTGCCTCTTTCACTAATGCAACACCAAATAACATTGTCATGCAAAGCCAACGTTTGCCTGTTAACTGCAACACGACATGCTCAGTTGTGCGTTGTGAACAGCTCGAGAGAAAAACCGCCAGATCCTCCTATTGGATTTTACACTTTCTGTTTCATACTGTGCCTGATGTAAATTGTTTCTCAAACAGAAGAGGGTGGTAGAGAGGGAGAAGGAGGGAGAAAGAGAAGAGGCACGGCAGCATGTCAGAGCGTAAGTCTCTGTCAGAAAAGCAATCAGCAGTTCGAGCGTCTGGCCTCCTGCAGCCCGCTGATTACAGCATTAGGCTCAGCCCAATTCTTCCCCTTGTGTGGCAAATCATTTCGCCTGCAATAAAGAACTTTGAGACAAAGGAGAAGTTAATTAAGATTAATTAACTTTTTAATGACGCCAGTACATTGCTATTTGTGCGTGTGGCCAAAGGCGTTTTTGAGCACGTTCCCTATTTACTTTCATATTGCACTACCCCTCCTCTATCCCTCACTGTCTCAGTGTTCAGTTTTATTATGAGGTAAAGCAGACACAAGGACATTTACAGATGCCTACCTTTGTGTTAATCCTTTTAATTTTTGTCCACTTGTAGGTCACCTCTTAAGAGTTATAATAGGAATTAGTCTCTTCTGTTGATGCCAAATTCTGACCATCTGCCTCTGGCGATAGAAGTCAAGATTCATTTCACCAGATGATGTTTTTCCAGTCTTCAACTGCCCAGTTTCAATGAGCTTGTGCCCACTGTAACCTCAGTTTCCTGTTCTTGGCTGACAGGAGTGGGACCCAATGTAGTCTTCTGCTGTTGCACCCCATCTGCTTCAAGGTCTGGCATGTTGTGTGTCCTCAGACTGCTTTTCTGCTCACCGTGGTTGTAAAGAGTGGTTATTCAAGTTTCTATAGCCTTCCTGCCAGCTCAAATCAGTCTGGCCAATCTTCTCTGACCTCTCTTATCAGCAAGATGTTTCCATCCTGAGAACTGATTGTTACTGAATGTTACCATTCTGTGTAAACTCTAGAGACTGTTGTGCTCAGCAGATTCTGAAATACTCAAACCAGCCTGTCAGGCACCAATAACCAAGGCATGGTCAAAGTCACTGAGATCGCATTTTCCCCACTCTTGACCTGTATCTGCATGATTTTTTTTTATAAATGAGCAGGCGTACAGGTGTTCCTAATAAAGTGACAACAGACAAATCTGCTCACACTAAAATAATAATAATAATAATAATAATAATAAAACATTCACAAAGCACCTTGTTACCTGTTAATGGACAGAATAATTCCAGATGAAATTGTTTCATTTTCAATTTTGGATTTTCATAGTGTGCACATTCATATGCCATTCATCATCGTGCCAGTTATAGAAGCATTTAAGTCTCTGATGTATGAAACTTTCCTCAAATGATGGCTCTGATGTACAAAAGCTCCTTTCAAACACATGTATTCAGAGTAATAGGTATTGTGGTGGCAAGAATGCAAAGCAGATTTCAGCTAATGAGATAAAGAATGTGGACTCCTGCTATTTTAAATGTATAATTCCTCAAATGAACCCGTTCCAGCTCATTAGCTGCAGAATTATAAGGCCCATTATGAGTTGAGTCTTCGTTTATTGGGGGTGGTTTGCCTGCTCAAACACACCTCATTCATATTATCTGGTTTAGTGGGTGTGTGAGCTGGGAAATCACTAAACTGTGCTGGACTGTGACCCTCCAGGAGCAGAGATGGCCAGACCTGTGTTAGAATAGGGAAGACACAAAACTATAAGATGTGAAAGAGTGGACTGTAATGTATCGTATGTAGTAATTATGTTTAATTTAAAAGCTTCTATATACACAATACTTTATTGAATGTTTTTTTGTATTGCATATACAGTATGTTTCTCCAAGTGAAAGAATGTGAGAGGAAGGGAGAGACAGACTGGAAGTGAATCGATGTGTGTGTGCGCGCGCGTGTGTGTCTCCTGCAGGGGGCCTGGGACAGCCTCTGTATTGCTGTATTCCCTGTGTGTGCCTGCTGCTTTACATTCTGGCCGTGTATGCCGAGTCTCACACAGCAGCAGCAAGCAGCCATGCACATCCCTCATTCAGCCTGACTCCTCATTTATCAACTCACTCAACCATTTCTCTCTCTCTTCTCTGTCTTTCTCTTGCATCCTGTCTCTCTGCTTTCTGCTTTCCTTCAGCATCTATACTTCAGTATTTCTACTTTACAGTATCTATACCATTTCTTCCTATGCCACCTCTATTTGTGCATATCCATTTGTGTCTAGAAATAAGGCAGAGAAGAAGAGGAAAGTCTGTATGTGTATTACCCTAAATGTTTACAATTGTAATCCTCCTCTGCAGTTTTGCCAGTTCACAAAGGATGAAGAGTGCATTCCTAACCTCACGCCCCCTCGAGGACAGGCTTTGAAAATGCCGATTATTGCTTCTTTTGTTCCACATTAACTCAGTCTGCACGAGCAGAGAGGGTGGTATTGCAGTATGAGAGCAGGCTCGCAGCTTGCCAGGTCTGGCCCAAACTTTGCATCTATCCAGAGAGAATATCAGACAGCAGAGATGAAAAAGCAGGAAATCAATAAAGAGGAGCGGGGGCAACACAGAGACCCTGGCTCCGCTTTGATTGAGGGCTGACTGACAAGCCCTTCGCCTCTGTGATCTGCTGCATGCTGAATGATCAGTGTAGAGGGGCAAAGCAGCTATGCTTCATTCACACCCAAAACTTCAGCCAGAAACTCAGGAAAGATTTCAAACCTTTTACCCAACAAAAGATGATAATTTATATCCTCATAAAAGCACTGCATCATAATTCTAAAACTGTACATGAAACGGTAATGACAGGAGTGCTGTGGTCATGATCAGACCAATGACGAGCATTATGAAGTAAGTTTGTTCATGGGTCCTATTTGTCTTTCTGATCTCTACTAGTAACTGGATGTTCTAACAAATTACTATATCATATGAACATATGAACCTCTGAACATTTTTTAAACAATTAAAATAATATGTCTAGGAATATGTGTAGTTATGGGCGAAAGCAATACACTGGGCATGCTGGAAGTTTAAGCAGCAGACATGTGGCATAAGCTTTGACGTCAAACCAGAATAATAGTCAAATAATTTTTCTTTTAACAGAGAATGTGTGTTGATTACAATGATATACACCACAGCACAGTTGAATTCTCGAATCAGAAGGCACAGCTCTGAATATCTACAGCTGTAACATAAATGATAGGTTTAGATTAATGAGAGGTTTATTGTTCCTAAAACAGCTGATTCACAGGGACGTGCTTAGCTGACGCTCCACATAATCTAAGACTAATATTAAATAGATTAAAATGTGTTTTTATATGACAAGTTTATTTCCTGGGAGTTAATTCCTGTTATCACTTTATACTATATGGCCAGAACTCCGATATGGCCAAAGTGGAATCTATTTTCCTATCTCTGTAGCTATTAGCCATGTTCTTGGCTAATTTATACTCAGCAGCCAAACATCTCAAAAATATACTCTAACTAAAGTTTTGTTTATTTATTACATACGTTAGTTAGCTGAGTAGCTTACCACATAGGCTTTCTGACAATTGCCATGTCATTCTCTAATGATTTGCAATCTGAATCTCTTATTTCACCTAAATAAAACAGGTTTTGGTTGGTTTTACCTAAACATAAGGCAATATCATGTGTTGGCCAAAATCACAAGATCAATAGCTGATTGAAGGTGAAGGTGAAAGAAAGAGCATCACAAAGAGAGAATCCATGTGCTGATGTCACTGTGGGCATGCAGTGTGAGTAATGTGGATTATTTCTGGCACATGTTGCCAGAGCTCTGTTGTCTGCTGGCAAAGAATGGCAAAGGCAGTGAGACACACACACACACACACACACACACACACACACACACACACACATATGCATTTTTCAACAGTAGCATAGCACATTTTGCCAATAGTGCACTTAATATTTCAGTTGAAAGTCTGAAAAAATCAGCATATAATGGTCTTATGTAAGTGCCCCAGACTACAGTTAAAAGAAATACACACGTCTATAATTTTTTTTTAAACTGTCTGGCTTGTTGCTGGCTGTCAGGCCCGCTAGTTGAAATGGCTAACTGTTTTGGGGCATGTTGGATTCCCCAAGCCTTGCAGCCAGAGCATCCAGAATGTGTTATTGTGCTCTGAATTTCCAAACAAGCATTTGCACAGTTTCTCTGAATATCCAAACAGCCACAGAGTTCTTTGACGTCCTGACAGCAATCTGTCTACGAACCTGTCAATGGACAGCAAGAAGGACAAGCCTGGCCACACGGTGCACATTGCAAGCTATGACAAAACTCCTTCTCCACTGTCTGCCAATGGGGTTCAAGAAGTAGCCTTTTCATTTTCAGAATATATTTCATGTCATTCAGTCTATAAGAGAAAATAGTACAGTGTGCCTATATGTGATATTGTCTGAAACCAATTGCAATGTTGTCCACTTAATTCTGCAGTAAATTATTCTGCTGCTTGAATAGTAAGCATTTTTATAATCCATTTTTATCTTCATGCTATGACATTTTTTAATTCAAGTATGGGTCAGACCTTGGCACAGTTGGAATATTGAGCTTTTATGTTGCGAAACAAGAATG